GCCGCCGAAAAATAAGTCATGTTCGAGCTACAAGCTTGAACGACGAGCTACAGGCGACATTGAGCTGTGAGATGTGAACACCTCCATTGAAATGCATTGGACGAGCTACATTGAGCGGAAATATGCGCGATTTTGGAGCGGAGATGGCGCGACAAACTGCTCAGTGTGAACAGGGTCTAAAGGCAGGTTACCGTGGCTTCAGCTGTCTGTCTGCTTTTATCACATAGTGAAGAGGTTTTGTGTAATTGAATCTTTAGACAGAAGCTTGTGGTCAGTACGTACTTGTGGTTATGTCTGAATCATCCAGTGGCTCACATGACACAACTAGTCATATTTGACAAGTTTATGTGCAAGTAGACAGCCTTTGAAGAAATATGGAAGCTGCCATCACTGACCACCCTCTGAAAAATACTTGTTAACCAACCTCGAACAAGCTTGCAGGTGAGATAAAGTCTAAGGCCCCGTTCACACTGAGCGATTTATCGCGCGGTAATTCCCGCGATATCACGGCTATTTACCGCGCGATATCGCTCTCCAATGCTTGGCAATGGGGCAAAGGGTCCTGTTGTCGCTACAGCAGGACCCTTTTTGGAGCGGATTTTGCCGCGATTCAATGCAAGCATTTGCGCAATTTGCGAATCGCCAAGTGTGAATGCTGCCTAAGGGCCCTTTCATACCAGCTGCACATTAAGAAGCTGCGTTGCAGAACGTCCAGTGTGTAGTGGTGCGTTGCGTCCTTGCATTATTACCCAAGGCACTATGAAGGTTTTTTTTTTTAAACTTTATTGACAGTTTACACTCAATTCAGAAGTCTCAACGGCAGCTCATCATGGTCCCCTCCAGTACTATCCAGTGCGCTGTGGAAAATGTGGCGTGTCTAGGGCTGCAAATGATTATTTTCATAATCGATTAGTTGGCCTTTGTATTTTTGTTATATGATCTAAAAATATTGGGGCGAAGGCCAGCTTTAAATAAGCATGTATGATGTGGACGGGGAATACATCTATTTGCTATGTGCAGAAAAAGGCAGCTCAGCTGACATTGTGTGAACAAGGCATTCTAGTGTATGCCCGGGCAAAATAAAAAGACATGCAGTACATTTCCCCATGTTTTATCTTTTTAGAGACCCTGCAGGTACAGAAATACACTCAAGGCTTTCAATTACATATTTAACAGATCAAAAGGAAGCAAATAAGAGAAGTCAATTGTTGGGGTTTCCTTAGACTTTAAAGGATAACTATGAGGTGAGTGATTTTTGCACTCATCCTCATGGTTAGAGCCGACCTTTTGACTAAGAAGCTGTCACAGGTCAGCTCTATCAATCGGGAAGTGAACACTCACCTTCTCCCGCTCACTTTCCGATCATCTGCCTGCAGAGAGCAGTGACTGTCAGTCATCACTCCCCGCAGGGATTCCCCTCTCCGATCCTCCAGCACTGAGTGGAGGAGGGGGCGGGCACAGCTGGCTCGGCCTCCAGATAGGCAGAGCCTGCTGTCACTCGCACAGCTGAGTGAATCCAGACAGTATTGTCGGGATCCGTCCCGGCTGCGGTGCTCTCAGCATATTGTGGGCAATAGCCTGCTATATAGTGAGCTTTGGGTCACGGGGGGAGGTTAGTAATGTCCTCCCATGACCCTAAACAGAACTATGGGGAAAAACACTTACCCCCATAGTTCTCTCTTTAACCTCTACACTTGTTCCCAAGACGGTGACTCCAAGTCCCGAAACCAGTCAGTATGAGATGGGACACTATTTTCATACCCATAGGTGGGTGACGGACGCTCGATATGTGTACGTACCAAACTGTTTAAGGGTACATTTGCACCAGATGCAGTGTGTTCTGGACAGATTGCGGCCGGATCACTTTTTTTGCCAGGCAAGAGGGGGGGGCGTGCTGGGCCATTGAAGTGAATGGCACCGTAGCCATGCCCTCCGGCTGCAATGCGATCGCCCGCACCGGATCGCGGTGCAATCAAAATAGTGCTTGCAACGTTTTGATTGGACCGGCTGCAATGCGAGGCAGTGCGTTCCGGCCAGAATAGGGCCAGAACGCACTTTAACTGGTGTGAACGGGCCCTTAAGCAGAAGATTGACGTTGGTGTGTTTGGTGTCTAGTTTATAGAAAGGTGGAAGTGTCTTAACAGTGTGGAGTTGGCTAGATGTGGTTGAGTACTTCTTTTTTTCCTTGTAAGTTGTGTTTGTGTGTTTTTTTATAATGTTAAATATTTGTCCTTTTGTGTTTATCTGTCATCTTTATTACTATAATAGTAGC